CGCCGCCCGCGCCCGCCCCGCCCCGCCCCCGCGCCGCGGACCCTGCGCTTCCGATTTCCCGGGCGCTCGGGCAAGCTGTCGCTTCGGTCTCAGTCTGGAGCCTGAGGACGCAGGGAGGGTCTGTCTCTGGGAGACTGCAGACTGTAGGCACTGCCATGGCCCCCGTGCTCAGCAAGGACACGGCCGACATCGAGGTACTGACTGCGCGCCCGGTCGCCTGGGGCGGGAGGGGGCCCGGTGGTGGGTGTCCGGGAGGCCGCCCGGGCAACCGCCGCGCCCGGGCAAGAGTGGGAGACGCGGGAAACTTTGCTTCGGCAGGAGGGTTGGGGGGGAGGCGGAGGAGCGAGGGGCCGGAGCCCCGCGGGGGCAGGCCGGGGAGAAGTGCAGGAGTCCCGCGACTGGAAGGGCGCCCTTTGGATTGGGACCTGGCTGTTTACTTCGGAGAGGAGTTCAAGAGCCTGTCTTGTGCTGCCCCGAGTGGCAGTGACTGAAGAACCACAAGAGTTGGAGAGAGGTGGACTCTGGAGGGTAGGAGCGCCCACTTCCCACCCGATCTACCCCGCACGTCCCCTTCTGCCCCCTGTGTGCTTTTCGGGACACCTGTCTGCTGCCCCCACCTCCAACAGCTGAATCCTGAATATTTGGAAAGGTGGAGTACAGAAATAAAGGAGATCTGTTTGTCAGCTATAGCGGTCTCCGCTAGCCATAGTATTTCTTATGAAATAATTTAACACTGGGAAGAATGGAATAAAGTATTGAGAACGTGAAAAATGCAGTGCCGGTAGAAAAACATAAACTGTTTTTGTCTCCTCAGCAGATTTTTTGATTCTCTCTTGCACTCTTTTTCTGTAAAAATGTCATCTTTCCTCCTGTGAATAAGGTCCTACCAGAAGTGACATGACCCTTTCCTTTGAGTTCTCCCTAGGACCTTTCTGTAAGAGATGAGAAGGATTTAATTATCAACTGTGATTTTAGACATGCTAAGCCAATGTTAGCCCTTCCGAGCTAAGATAGACTGCTTTTTAGTTTTTTGTTGTGTTTTGTTTGGGGCTTTTCTTTATTTGAGTCTCCTGTTCTAGTAAAATGTGTGTCTGTGTGCAAGCGTGTATGTTATCTTTAGAAATGACAAATTTTTTTTTCCCTTATTTCTTTTCAGTGGCTTAAGTAAAAGTTTAAAACCACCTGTTTGCAGAATAGCTGCTTTTGCCATGTTTTGCCTCTGTCATTGATTGAAGGAACTTTGTATTCTGTTTGGGGGAAGGTAGTAGTGTTTTCTGCAGACTCTATATTGGTTTGAAAAATCCATTTTAGTGACAAGAGCCATAGTATATTATGTGGACATCTCCGGTTAATTTACTTGTGGTTTCTCTTGTGGATAGTTTACTTTTTCATATTGATCAATATGATGTATTTAACCCAGTATTTATTCATGTGCGCTTAGGGTAAAAAATACTTGATTTATGTCATTGGTCCTTTTTGGTCCTTGTTACTTTAACTTAACCAAATCCTTTTTTTACTAAGTCAAATGGCACACTCCAGACCACATTCAGAGGGTACTGATTTCAGAGATAAGTGTGTCAGAGGGCAGGTGGCTTTTGGCTTTTGAATTTCAGAATGGTACGTTGTCTGTCTGCTTAACTGATTTCTTTCTCTGTATGTCTCTTGCAGTTGTCTTTGAAATCAGTTCTTAGCCACATTACACAAGGAAAAAGATGCCGGTGAAACGTTAAATGACTGGCTTGATTTCGTGTATTGTTTCAACGAAGACCGTTTAAGAAGTCCATGCCCTTGCACTTACCTTGATCTAACCTTAGTCTATGTGACTAGTCTGCCTGATATTACTTATAACCTAGAATAGTGGTATTCAAACTTTTTCAGCTTTTATGTAGTTCATATATGCAACACACTTTAAACAGTAACATCTTTCATCAGACACAGTACCTTACTTTTTTCTCAAAGTAATACCCATGGTTCATGAGCTGGAGTACCATGAAAGAGCGTGAAATTAATCATGAAAATATAATACAGTGAGGAAAAATACATTAAGCCTAGAAAAATACATTGAGCCAAGAAAAATACATTTAAGCATAGGTGTCTCAGTTGATTCTGTTGACTCACCAAAGTTCATTTTTGTTTGAAGAATCAGAATGAATTACAAAAGCTCAGTTTTCAATCAAATTTGAATGCATACATTCGATTTGCCTTCCTTGCATGAATTCATTAAAATCATTGTCTAGAGATTGATCTGATTGTAACCTTTGCCTTAGTCTAAAATGCATGGAGAAGCAAATAATCTTAAAAAAAAATTATTGGTATGAAACAGAGTACATGTTCACTTGATAAATGTGAAAAGAACAGAAGGTGATGGTGACAACCCACTATAATAGTGATTTAATTTTCCCATAAGCTACCCACAAAACCTCAGATTTCAGTGAAGCAGCCAAGAAATATCTTTGTTTCTGAGGAAAAAAGTTATTGAGATATACAGAGTTGCTTTGTGTGCTCATGCCATAATTTCTAGCCTCAATCCAATATCAAATCAGAGTTTGAAGGATTGGGGGCATGAAAAACAATCAGAAGGTCACCACACTCCAAAACTTGAATACCTCTGGGTTGGAAGATAGGCGTAGCAAGGATGCATTAGTAGATAATTAGGCAACAGAACCTAGCTCATGTACTCAAAAATTGTTGTCGTTGTATTAATGGCAGAAGTTACGTGAAAAATGAAGTTTTTTTCCAGACACATTAATGTGGTTCAGAGCCTGGGATCTGGAGCAGACTGCCTAGGGCTGAGGTCTAGTTGCACGCCTTTTTAGCTGTGTGACTTTAGGCAAGTTACCTCACTTCTTTGAATCATATTTGCCTAATCTGTTAAGTAGGGAAAATAATAATAGAAAAGATAATAAACAAATGTCACAAGTTGACGTCTTCTTGTCAGGAAAAGCCAAAAACATGTTAAAAAATAAAGATATAGAAAAAATATCAGGAAAATCACTGCCAATGAAGTGATTAATATTCTAAGGGTCACTAATGGTAGCTATATACTTTTAAAAGATATTTTACTTTGTGGACTTACTTTTTGGATAAAGCTGAATTTTGTCAAGGATGACTTTTGACTACCAGTTCTCCTGGGAAGGTTTCAAAGAAGGTGCATATCAGACATTGATCAGTTTCTCTGACCTCAGCAGTGCTTTCACGGTACTTCATTTAGTTTGAATTGATAACTGGTATAATGTCAATATCTGCACATTTAAAAGGAAGTTAGAATGATTTTGTAAGAATTTACTTTTGTTCATTGTCTTGTTCCTCTTCACTGACATGGATAACTGAGAATATACAATAAAAGTACAGCCAAAGGAAAATGTATGCAGCTGCAGCCAGCTTTTAACTCTTTGAATACTAATAATTTTGGTATGCATTTAAAGACAAACTAAATTACTACCTACCACTCTACTTCTTCTGCAATCACAAGTCAAGGTCCATTCCCTTCAATTATCAGTTAATGAGTATTAAAGGTTATAAACTCATTTCAAATTTACCATGAGTAAAAAAGGGATTTCAGTCCATTGTCCACAAAATCACAATACATTTCGAGCCAAATAGAAACAGTTTCTGAATTACTGATACTATGGCTTCTATTCATTTGAGAAGATAATTGAGAATTTTCTGTTTATTAATTAAGAAAATAAGATAATAAAAAGATAGATTTGGAAAACGGGAGTATAATGGAAACAACTTGGAGAAAGTAAATTTTAAGGAGCATTTTGAAAAAAGGAAAGGCATGGGTTATGTATTGGTGGAGATGGCAAAGGATATTTCAGAATACTCTTTATCATAACTGCTTTTGCCCCTGGGGAAGGAGAAGGGCCATAGATCCACAGGAGAGAATAAGGATTTAGCTTTGCAGATGCTATGGGTTATTTATTTATTTATTTAAATTTATGTTTTTTTTACTCAATGTATAAGTAACAGTCCTTTCTTGTCTGCTTCCTTTTATTGATTGGGCACCACAGATCTATGGAAATGCTACCTTCACTTGCTAAAGCTTTTAAAGCTTTTTTTTTTTTTTACTTTCAAATTTTTTAGCTTTAAACCTATTTTGTGAGTTTGAGTTGTTAAAAATGTATTTGTCCTCCCTACTTTAAGCTGTCCCATGGACCATGCTTAGTTTCACTTTAAAGTATTTCTCCTGTCTAAGGAATTTAGCTGGGCAGTAGAAATGGGTCTAATTATGTGATTGGAGAGTTACTTTATTCCAGCGATAGATCCTTATAGTTTTAAGGTACTACACATTTCTTTAGTTCAGCATGGTCGTATATATATTGCCACAGTTAAAAAAAAATTCTACCTCTGGCACATAAATTCAGAACTAGTGTCAGTAGTTTAATTACAAACTGTGAGATTAATGACTAATGATGAGTCTATCACTGGGGAGGTTTTTAGATTGGATCTGCTTAATCATAGCAGGTCATGTTGACTGATCGCTTATTGTAAAAATGTCCTAGAATTCAATAACCTCCTTTCTTACATTCTGGAAGAAAAATCCAGTTTTGGAAAGCTGAACATTAACAGGAAGGAATTAATAAGAATACCAACAAAATCTAGAGTCAAAATGCTGAGATAATTGAATGATCTTTAAGCAGCTGTATCTTTTCTTAACTATTTGAATACAACATTTTACCAAGCTCTCTATATACACAGGCAACAACACAAGAGCTGAAAAATAGACCTTCCAGTTAAAGTAAACATGTCTGGTCACTGTGGCAGAATTCTAATAATTAGCATAAATTTAAGTTACAAGATTAGAAACACTAAAATTAAAGACAATGAGACTGAAAAAAAATTGCCAAAAATAATATGACAAAGAAAATGTGATAAAAGATGTGGTATGGTCTAGGCTTCAATGCAGCTAAAGAGGAGATTGAAAAGTAGGATTGGCCCATTCATTTTTCTGCCTCTTAGCTATATGGACACAATTGACAAATAAGTAGCAGAAACCTTCACTCCTTAAAACTGTAAAGAAAATTCTCTGTCATTTATTCCCTGACTTAATTCAAAAATATTTAATAAGGCGTTCTAAGATTATAAATTTATCTAAAATCAGGATTCTGATTTTCAAATGTGACATGTTTACCTTCTGGACTTCATTTGCTCTTAATCCTCCATATCAAGACAGAAGGTGTTTTTTGGCCTC